TCTCTCTCTCTCTCTCTCTCTCTCTCTCTCTCTCTATTGATTCTGTTTATCCGTTTTGCTTCTTCCCTAAACGTAGTGACCGCTATTGCGTGGACGTGTTTATTTTTATTCAAACTCAAACGCCACAGATGTCAGTTTTGTGCATAACAACTGTTTTGCCATGTTGTTCAGAGAGAAGGGCTAGAAATTCAGGAGTTACGAAGTGCTTGAATTAACATGCTGAAGTAAGCATTCTGGCTGTCTCACGGAAGATCCTATGCTCGAACGGACATGGCGCATGATAGATAGATTTTTATGTTTTTATGTGGGGCATTTTGGTGTGAATGAAAGAAAGAAGAGACGTTTGCCCCAAAGTAAATGTCACTAAGGCACATCTTATCCCAAGATGTTTGATGAGACACAGTCTTTATAGAAAAAAAGGGAAAAAAATTAGCTCTCCGTTAGCTCAATTAGTATCATGCTGGCCTTGTTTCGAATCCCAGTTCTTGGACTCGGGTAGTTTTGCAGACTGTTCAAGGCTCTCAACCTAGGCTATCTTAGTAACCAGATCTAAGTACTAAGATAGCCTAGCTCTCAGCCCATTTGACTCAGTCCTATCGGAGACAGACGTCACAATCGGAGTTCCTCGCTTCTTTCATAGCCTTATAGTATAGATAGGAGCATTAAACTTATACACTATCTTACATATCTACTTACTTTACCAGAAAGAAATGATGGAGCAACTTTGATAGTAATTCTATATTTTACGCTCCCACTGACACAAATGACACTAGAAGGCGGGCTGTTTCGACCAGATCTGAGAGGGATACAAAGCCCAAGGACTGATAGCAGTTCTCCCCACGCGGGAATCAATCTCGAAATAGGCCTTCTGCGGTTTTGTTTTGTTTTTCGTACGAGTTTTACGGCATTTGTAACACAGTAAGGTCATAAAAGTGCCGAAAATTAGAGGTGTTAAAAGGGAGTAACAAACACAAAAAAGAAGGAGGTGAGATAAAGACAATAGACGTTTAATAGGAAAGAAGGAGCAAACAACACCAGAGCACCCGCCAACCACCCAGTGCGCGCTATCTTCTGCATGCAATGACGAAGGGCATAATCACCGTACCTCAGAGGCTGATCAACGAAGGAGTCGTAGATTCGTTTAATTTTAGTAAGAGTTTTGTGGCACTTTCAACACAATTAGGTCATATATGTGCCGAAGATTAGAGGAGTTACAAACCAGAGAGTAGCAAACATAAAAAAGGAGGAGAGATCAGGACGATAATTATATTATTATGTTTGATAGGAAAGAAGGAGCAAACCACACCAGAGCTCCCGCCAACCACCCGCGAGTTGTATATTCGAAAAATTAAGCCGATTTTCTTACCTTTAGAACAATGAGTGAGTGGAGCAGTTGGCTCCAGCTTTGACCAAAATGTAGTGGTTCGAGTGTGAGTTCGAATCCTGATGAGATCTTGATTTCTTTGAAGGCTCTGTTGTATCGAAATTTTTAAAAATAATAAAAGGATTTGGAGTTCTAAGACATATTCAAGGCATGGCAAGATGAGGTAAGATTACATAAGATAAGTTAAGGTAAGTTAAGGTAAGATCAGATCAGATCAGATCAGATCGGATAGGATCAGATCAGATAGGATCATATAAGATTAGATATAATGGTACTTCCTTATCCAAAAGAACTGTTGCTGTGATTGCTGACAGTGGTTATTCAAGATGAGAACATTTACAACATAAATGATGAATAGAAAAGAAAGATCGAAATGGTGGGGAGGGGGGGGTATTATTTTTACCCTTACACCACAGTTAGACAGACAGACAGACAGACAGACAGACAGACAGACAGACAGACAGACAGACAGAGGCAGACAGACAGACATGCACATACACACTGACAGACAGACGAGCACACAGACAGAAACAGACAGAAAGACAAGACAATCATGAAGACACATACATAGACAAAGGCACACAGAAAGAAAAATAAAGATATTGTATAAAGATAAGCGGAGGGGAAACGAGACAAAAGCTCTGTCTCTCAACTCGGTTCTCTGTGCGCATGGGTCTAAGTCTACAAATCGCTACCTCAGAATTACAAAGTTCTCTCTGACATTTTCAGCCGTATTTAAGTTAATAAGACCGTGAGTTTAGAAACCAAATTATGTTCTATCTGCTCTATCAAAATCGTAGATGATTCGGAGTCGTTATCAAAATATTCAAAGTACTACATTCTCAAAAGTTTGACATTTTTGTAAACCTCAATATTTTCGTCAATGTTTTCAAAACTAGGTGCTGAGCAGATAAAACTTTGTAATTCTGGAGTAACAAAGTGTTAATAACAATGTTAACATCTGGTATAGAGGGACAAACAGTTACGATGGTAATCTCAATTGCTCAAACATTCTAAACAAAAACTGACAGAATTTAAAGGTAAAATAGCAATGCGTCTCTTGTCAGATTTTCCACTGAGAAGTGATAGTTAAAATGAGAGCTTTCCAAGTAAGGGAAACATTGAATTAATTGTTGTATTATAAATTTTGTTTTTATTCACACAAAAAATGCATCTGAAGGATTAAGAACTGGTGTCTGTTGTGTGGCGTTTAGGTGCTTCGCTGTAGCACACAGAAGACCCGGTTCGTTTCTCGAGGGGGGATAATCGAGTGTCTAGATCTTTCTGCTGGCTGGAATGTTGTATCCCTCTCAGCCCGCGCTGGCCCTGACAGGCGGGGTAAGAAGCCCGCCTTTTAAACTATCTAAACTTTTGTGTGGAAAGGGGGGGGGGGTGGTAAAAAACACCTACATTTAAAAAAAAGAAAAATCAGGACAGTTGTAGGATTTTTAGTAAATACTTTCCTTACCTGTACCTTTTTATCGATATGAATCCAACAATGAGTCCCAAGAGTCTCCTTATTTTCAACATTTCAAAAGCACAAACACGCATAAAAAAATAAATAAGATAATTCTTTTTCTTAATCCTCCATCAGAAAAAAAAAATGTAATTGTGCACGCACAAGCTTTTGGCACATTAAAGACAAAATTGAAACGAGTACATGTCCTTCCACAAGAACATGGACTCGTACGCTCAGGCACACACATACAATACTGTTGCACATAGACATACACCGGAGACAAGCTCGTTCTCTTTCTCTCTCTCTCTCTCTCTCTCTCTCTCTCTCTCTCTCTCTCTCTCTCTCTCTCTCTCTTTCCCTCTCTCTCTCTCCCTCTCTCTCTCTCTCTCTCTCTCTCTCTCTCTCTTTCTCTCTCTCGTTCTCTCTCTTGTTCTCTCTCGCTCTCTCTCCCTCTCTTCCTGTCTCTCTCTATCAAAAGTCTCAGTCTATCCGTCTCTGTCTCTGTCTCTCTGTCTCTGTCTCTGTCTCTCTCTCTCTCTCTCTCTCTCTCTCTCTCTCTCTCTCTCTCTCTCTCTCTCTCTCTCTCTCTGGCTCTCTTTCTGGCTCTTATATATATATATATATATATATATATATATTTATTATTATATATATTTTTTATTGACCCACCCCCCCCATACATATATAGATATATATATATATATTTATGTGGGTCTTCTTTTATATATATATATATATATACATATATATATATATATATATATATATATATATATATATATATATATATATATATATATATATATATATATATATATATGTATATATATATATATACTGACGGTCATTAAAAACGCACCATTTACAAAACAATTCAAGTAGTGGTGATGTGTTTATTTTTTTAAACAGGTTGTATACCATTGCATTCTATGGTCATTTTGTGAACCTTCACAGCTGAAATGAAATGAAAAGGTCAAATGGCACCGCGAGCACAAAAGCATGAAATAACAAAAGTCATTTTTCAAAAATCAGAGCGGTAAATTGAGTTTTTAACACCTGCTTTAGTATCGTGTATGTCCTCCATTCGCCTAAATACAGGATTGGTAGTGTCTTCTCATGGAATTGACAAGACTCTGAAAGAACACCTGTGGAATCTGTACCCCCTCATTTGTCAAAGAACACCTCAGCTCTTGGAGATTGTGTAGAGGTCTTCCACGGGACGAACGGCGGCAAAGCTCGACCCACACATGCTCAGTTGGTGTCAAGTCAGGAGACAGTGATGGCCAAGGCAGGACATCGATGTTGTTTGCCTGCAGAAAAATAGTGGTGGCTCGAGCGGTGTGGGGGAGGGCGTTGTCGTGTTGGTATAACCGCAGCTCTGGGTGTTGACCAAATAACGGCACGACGTGGTTCTTTAAAACCTGCTGCTACGTGGTGACATTCACAGGCTGGTCGAAGAAGCACAGTGGTGTGCGATAATCGTGGCTGAACGCTCCCCATACCATGACGCTGCCTCCTCCCCATCTATCGACCTCCAGCATGCAACACTTGGCACAGCGCTCGCCGGGGCGTCTCCAGACCCTTCTTCTCCCGTCAGCATGCGACTCTCGTCAACTGTAACTGTTTTGCAAACGTTGTTGACAGTGCCTCTGTGTCAGGACAGGACCAACGTACGAGCGTCTGGCTGCAAGTCCTGCTTCCCGCAAACGGCGTCGCACGGTCCATCCACGCCGACCAACCACTTGACGACCTGTTTCCGGTGCTGGCAGGAAACGGTCATGAAGATAACGTTGGCAAATGTAACGGTCCTGCGCTGGTGATGTAACTCGTGGTTGGCCGCTCCGTCCTCGGTCTGCTGTAGATTCAGTAGCTGCATTTTGTTGAGACAACCGGATAACAGTCGAGTGGCTACAGTTCATGCGCCTGGCAACTTGCCGTGCTGCCATTCCGGCTTGGGGCATTCCAATCCCCTTTTCACGTTTTTGCATGGAAAGTTGCAGCATTATTTACAGAAAAAATCCGTCGCACAGAGTAAAGAATGTCAGTTTTTGTTATGGGAGAATATAATCTCTCCCTAACAGCCAAAAAATTTGTCTCGCTGAACAAAGTTTAGGTTTGAGGTCGACATATCGGATTTTTGCATGTTGCACGTGCGCATTGACAGTTTTGAACTGGGAACTTCAAATTTTGTGCGATCGGTAACCTCTGTTGCCCGTGAATATTTGTCA